TGTATAGAGCCAAAGAGGTTAGAATTGTGTCGATGTCCCAATATTTCTGGACCTGACTGTATACCCCTAGAAGTAACCATATATATAAAACATATCTTCAAATATATTAATAAACTGCAATTCTATATGCACTAGGGCTATTATATTTGAACTGCAAAACTCCAAATGGCCAACAGAATTTTCTGTATCTCTTTGCTGCCATCAAATGGCTGTCCACGTTTTTGCAAGCCAGATATGGTAGCCTTAACAGGCCAGTCAGAAATGCCCTATTCAATTCAGTAGGAACTTCTCACTAGTAAAAATGCAATGGACTAAGCATCTTGGTCTTAATGTAAAGTAGACAGGAAGACAGACCAAAGCTTCTGTCTTCCCCATCATCCCTTATATCACTCATCTTTAAATTCAGAGACATTTCAAACTGCTTGCACATTTGCCTTCTTAGTAGGGAGGAGCATATATGCTTGTACAGAAAACTCTGAAGCACATGCATTAGCATGCTCATGAGAGTGACCTTGAGAATGTTACATTAACTAATACTGCAATTCTACATGCTACTTCTTGAAAGTTAGTCCTACTGAAGATGCAGGCTATTTCTGAATACTGTAGATTATTGCAGTGAAAACAATGGGATAATGGAAGATTCTCACACGTGTTAATCATGTAGATATTTTAGATCAGTCAGATATGAATAAAACATCCTACAACTTTGGCCATACAAAGTCTCAGTGTTCCTCCTTCCCTCCACCATTACCCTGCTAAAGAGTATTTAGACATTGGGAAAAATACATTTACCTTTGGACATCATGAAGCAAAACCTGTTCATCGTTACCTATAAACATGAACAGAATTTGTCACTTTAGTAATATGAATTTAATTGAGAAGGATTGTGCTTGTGCAGTTTTCGTTTAGAAAAGGAAAAATGGAGTGGGAACACAAGAAAGAAATTAGCTTGTTACTCGCTATTGTGGTAGAACCAGATATTGATGACAATGGCTCCTACCAGTTGGCTTGCTTTTGACACACAAAGCAAATAGTAGTTTGTTGGGGAGCAACAATAAGAGGAGTTGTTTACTACAAGTCCACTCTATCTTAAAAGCACTAGATAGTTAAGTGTGGAGAAGTTCCTGGACAGAAAAGAGGGTACCGCCCCATTGTTTGCCCTAGAAACATGATCACATTGTGTATCACAGGAATATACAGGATTTGGAATCCTTTTTGCTACTGTATATCTGTGTCTCTCAACTAACTCACTCAAGAATGGGCAAACTTTTGGTGATTGGGAAATGAACTGAATGGTCTTATGTGGGTAGGACAGAGGTCAGTAACTGCACTGGGTGGAATGACATTTCAAAATGCATGGGGCATGATACAACATGGGCGGAGCTTTGAGGAGTTTATGGCTTTTTGTTTTTAATGATGTCCTATTTTAAGGTTTATATTACATTTTCATGGTTTTTTTCCCCTCAAAATGATGTGAATTGATTTTCAATAGTTACATCACTGAAGTAACTCACAACAAGTTCTGGGATGCTCCAGGAGCAACAACAATGGTTCAGGACACAGAATGCTTTTCCATCTGATCAGAACAAAGTATTTTCTCCCTACAACACCCTAAAGATAGCACAGGTTAGGAAGAAGATAATATTGCTTGCTTGTTTTTAAAAATATTTTGGGTACATCAGTTCTTCTGTGCATATGTGTAACATGCAAGGTTATAGAGTAGGACAGAAAAACAAAAAAGGCATCCTACAACTTTCTTTATCTCTTAGAAATAGGGGGTCTGTGGATATCTTGTGAGGTACTCTGCTCATCCTATGTCTCAACAGCAGTAAATGGGAAGAATTTCATTCTGCCTAATCCACTATGCTATGCTCAGAAGCTTATCTATCTATCTATCTATCTATCTATCTATCTATCTATCTATCTATCTATCTATCTATCTATCTTCTGTAATAGGAAATTGCTTTTCAGTTGTGCAGCCTCAATGATATTGCAAAAAAAAAAAATGACTGCAGATATACATTGGAACCATTCAAAAATCCTATTTAGATGGACAGCATGTAAACTACAATCAATCAATCAATCAATCAATCAATGTATTCTTGCTTTCCTTTAAAAACTTTCTTCTTTACCTCCAGAAAAGACTCTGGTGTTACCACTATTAAAAGCCAGGCAGAAGATATTAGAGTGATGTTCTCCTTTCAGTTGAACAGGCTTGACCCTAGAGTGGATTGCTTGTTCCATATGCCAGAGCAGAACTCGACGATCATCTCCACCTACATAGTAGAGCACAATAATCAAGAAAAGCATTACAAGCATCTATACACCTTGCAATATGAAATCCTGATTATTTTAAGCCTGTATTACTGCATCATATGAAGAACCATTACAGGTTAGGATGAATCTCTTCACTGTTGCTCATTCTTTTTTCTAAACAGGCTATTGTATAATATTGAATTCAGAAAGAAAGAAGAGGGTGACTCTAAATATAACAAGGAAAAAAATGAAACATAACTGTTCTCTTGGGCATCTGCATTTATCCAATAGAAGGGAATATATGCAGCTCAGGGGTGAACTGTGGAGTCCTTGGTGCTCTCTAAGCTTGGTTGTTTGCTTCCAGACATTTCATTACCAGGCTAGGTAACATCATCAAGCAAACAACCAAGCTCAGAGAGCACCAAGGACTCCATTTGTATTTATTCTCCTACATGGTTTGGATAATTCTGTTACTGAGGAGAATTCTAGAATGTAAAACTGGAAGTCTTTCTTCTTTGAATGAATGTATTTTACATTACAGACTTTTTCTTGATAAAGGCACTGTTTGAAATAGAAGACTAAATTCAAATACCCAATACAACAGTGGTATAATGTTTATTATGTTTGATTCCAGGGCCAGCTTTAAGCAAAGGCTAAATAAGCACTGGCCTAGGGCACCAAATCTTAGGGGGCACCAATGCTGCCCCTCCTTCCAAAAACAAAGTCTATTCTACAAATGCAAGTCTTCCTATATGCGGGAGGTGGCACCAGCAGTTCATGTAACCTAGGGCCGCCATATACCCTTGAGCTAGCACTGTTTGTATCACATCATACAAAGTCTTTTTGAAAAATAGATTCAATTCTCAGACTGGAAAGAGTCAACATGCATTTAATGTATTTATTGCATTTAAAGCTATTTTTCCTTCAAGACACTCAAGGTGGCACATATGGCTTTCCTTCTCTACGTTTATCTTCAGAATGATGCCATGAAATACTTAGGCAAAAAATAAGGCTTGCCTAAGGATACCCAGTGAGAGCTTCAAAGTAGAATTGGGGTTTGACTTAGGGTATTTCCAATTCTAGTCCAATACTACAGTATTGGCTACTTTATTTGTTGTAAATCTTCCACTATTCACACCATGTTTAAGGAAGGTAAGTGTTTAACAGAATTTATTACTACAATGAATTTTCATGGATATCTGCCATATATTTTCCAACATTCTTTCAAAATCACAGGAAGAACATTTAAAGAGAGATTAAAAACAGTTCAAGTTTGCTTGAACTCAAAATCTTTTCTAAGAGGGCAAAGTTGAATATTAGGACCCTACATACTTGGCTTTTTACAAATATCTTGCCAAAATTATCAGTCCATGTAATCAATCTAAGTTTACAAACATGATGGTAACTCCTATGTCCAACACTGTCATACAAAAACAGTTCTTGAAGAAGATTAAGCATTAAGAGAAAAGCACCTGCTGTTAGGTACAACATAGCCTTTCTAACACATTAACAGAAATTTGCTCAAGTTGATGAAGTTGTTGCAAATGTCTCACAGAGGGCATGGACACCAAGTGTTCAATTTGGTAGCAAAGTTGGTAAGATAGGAGAAATTTGTATATTCAGATATGCAGCATAATGAATAGCTGAAATAATTAAACAGATGAATTAGGATATATCTTAAAGCTGAAAAATAAGTTATCCTTAACTGAATGTTTTATTGTAGTGTTTGAAATTTGCCTAACAAGGATTTAATCATTTATTACTGCAGCAGCATGTTGCTTTCCTCGTAAGTGAAAAAAAAATAACACATATTCAGTAGCATATAATAACATGCAATGCAATCTTGATGGAAGAACTGGCTAAATTAGTGAATCTGATGGACAATATGACTCATTTACTGATTTAGAACTAGTATACCTCAACTCCACTATCCACCATGACCTCATGGTGGGATACAATTCACATAAAACATGATAAAACAGTAAAACCAAGTAAGAATAATAGCATAAACTAAAACAGACAATAATATCCATAGCAATGCTGACAGAAAGCACTTAAAGGGAAACAAAACAAAACAAAATCAACATCCACAACATTGTCAGGCTGTGGATGAGAATCTTGAACTTTAGAGAAAAAAGCCAGATCTTCACCTGATACTGAAAAGGCAAAAAATGTCAACCTGGGTGGCAGGGAGTGACATTCCAAAGTTGGCTTGCTACAAGACAGAAGTTTTCCCCCTATATCTCCATATATACCTTCTCTTGCAATTCTTAACTTTCAGGTACGTACCTATTTGGAGAGACACTCCTTCAAGTATTGAGCTCTTTATGATAAACACCATCACTAAATTCTTGAAATCCAGCTAATATAGGCAGTCTGTACAGTTCTTTAGAACCACTGTTATGTTGTCTCTGAAGGATATTTAAGATAACAGTCTTGCTGCCAAACTAGCTTCAGCTTCCAAGTAGTCTTCAAGGTTAGACTCACGAAAAACAGATTGTGGTGATCTATATGGGAGATTACTGGAACATGAACGACTGAGTCTAGACTATCCTTTTCCAAAAAGGATAACAGACACTGGTCCAACAGCTACATCATCTTACCCAACTCTGATGATAGGAGAATCAAAACAGCAGCGGCACCAATCCAGACCGGGCCATGTGTCATGGCAACAAAGGCTGTTTCAATGTCAAAACCAAGTCTCATAACTGCTATAATGTATCATAATCCCTATCCTTCAAGAATACATGAAAGCTAATAGAGCAAAAAAAAAAAAAACCAAGAAAACCTCCACATTCAGAGGTATTGAATTGTTGTATATCTCCGTTTCTAATAATCAGAATTATATTTTATCATGCCCAGCTGATGAAAGTGGAAAGGATATTTGGCTAACTGCTCTTCAATATAACATGATATAATAGATAGAACCTTGAACAATTACCACACCTTGGTTACAACCCATTTTGACGACTGTGACCAGAACTTGTAATTTGTGCAAAATGCAGCAGTCAGACTCATTGGAGATCTCATGATACCTGTACTGAAAAATCTGCACCTACTCAGCACAATTTAAGAATCTGATGTTGACCTTTAAAACATAAACAACTTAAGGCCTGATTATTGGAAGGACAACTTCTATTACTATGATTTTGCTGAGTTACTTAAATCAGCAAAAGAGGCCCTTCTAAAGATCCTTTGCTACCAGAAGCTCATATACTTCTGAGAGCCTCCTCCTACGTGATCCCCAAGTTATTGAACTCACTTCCCAAGGAGGTGCGTTTGGCAAAAACATGTCTCTTTCGCCAAACTCTTAATTATTTTAATTATTAATTATTTTAACTGTTATTTTAATTGTTAATTATTTTTATTTTTTGCTTTTTATTTCAGTTGCATTAGTTATGCTTTATATTTAGGTTATTTAATTGTGTAAGCTGCCTTGAGTGCTCACATGAGCAGAAAGGTAGGGTGCAAATTAAATAAGTAAATAAACTATCAGATATATTTGGACCTGCTGAAAATATGTAACATAAATGAACCACATCAAAACTGTAAAACAGGGATGGGAAACCTGTAGAAACTTCAATAACCTCCAGCATCCCTTACTATTAACCATGCTAACCTGCAGTTCTTGGCAGCTGGTCCAGTAACATCTGGATCACCACAGATATCTCAATCTATGATAGAATAACCTCAGAATAGTATTTGATTATATTTATTTATATCTCATGAATATAATCTTATATCAGTATTAATGAGTTATATTTAATAATTTCTACAATCAGTAACAAAGAACATATAATATAAATAACACTGGCAACAATGGATAAAAACTAGGGGTTGAATTTCTAAATTTTATTTAGACCCAGTGCTAAAAGACTATTCAGGGATACGTGAATGAGTCTTGGATGTAGAAATTATCCCCTCTCCCAGTGTGGCTATGAGGAATAGATTAGAAGTTTTAATTTCCATTTTCAACCTTCCACAGTTACGCAGTATACTGAAACTTGAAATTGTAATTAATATGAACAGTGTTTTTTTTAAACAAAGAAGTATCATCCAAATGAGGTTGGCTCATTTCCCTAAAATATAGTTAAAACTCACCGTAATTTATCTGATTTCAGACATAGCAAGTAACTACATCTGAACACTGAAAGGATGTTTCCTGTCTTTTTTTCACAACCTGTTTCAGTGTAGAGAAAGTGAGACAAAATATGCATAAGGCTCATGATTGTTACGGTAATCCATACTGTAGTGTGCAAATGATCCATTAAACATCCATTAAATATTATGCATCTCCAGTTCCTAGCAAAAAAGACAAACAGGCAGCCTGAGTTTCTGCTGCAAGGGCATTCCAGAATTATAGTACTTGACTCTCACGTTCACTCATCAGGCATCCTGAAATTACACCAAGAACAAGCCTTCTGAGACGGATTTTGAATCCCAGGTATACTTAAATGAGAGCAAGTGGTTTTTAACAGATCTTAAGCTGTGTAGAAATTTAAAAGCTTGAACCAGCATTTTGAATTGGACCTAGAAGCAAATAAGTCAATGGAACCAACATAAAATCAGACTTACATGCATCCAGTAAATGCATGCAACATTTCAATTCTTACACATTGATCCAAATTCCACCTCAATATTTCTATCCCTACAACTCCAAATTTGTTACGAGCATGAGTGTAATTTCTGGATAGGTGTAAGGCACAATATTATTTCTGTACAGCTGTCCGATAGTGCTACAAAAAATGAAGAAGCAAATATCATAAATGCCTCTTCAATATTTTCCATTGCATTTGGACAATACTATTTCTCTGTTTTTGGGTCATGCATATTTGCTCTTGGTCTACTTTGAATTGTCTTCTATTTTATCTTTGTCCATCTGCTACTAATACTTTAAGAATCTGGCACCCATTAATACTAACTTCTCAATCATACTAGAAGCCCTGGAAGCTGCAGTAAATTATCTAGAGCAAACAGTATGTACTGTACTAAATAGATAACAAGCTTTCTCTCAACTGAG